GGTTTTCACCTCGGAAGGCAACCTCAACCCCAGCCCCACACACTCTGTGTGGCTGGCAAGCACTCATCCACTCTGAATCCCGATTCACTTGTGGAAATTGGGTGCCAGAGTCCCCACTTAACGTGGTTGTGGAGAGGGGTTGTGCCCCAGGACCCAGACGCACAGCAAGGGCTCTGCACCCCGCTTGCCCTTCCTCCTTTCAGAGGCCAGAAAGTGCTCCCGTCTGGAGCCGGGAACCCGGGACCGTCCACTCGGCAGGAGGGGGCTGGGGTGGGCAAGGCGATTTCCTCTCCTTTTTTATCAAGGGATTGGGAACCGAGACCACTGGCTAGGTTGGGGAAGCTAAATTTCCGGGGTCAGGAGACACTTGTGTTTGGGGGGAGATTAATTCGTCAAAGGCGCGCAGCGCGGCCTGAGCTAACCGTGCCACCGCCGCCATTCCCCTTGCGCTCCTTGTCCGCGAGACAGCTGAGCTGGGGGTACGTCTGAGAGCAGGGACTGGCCGAGGCCTCCGCGCTCTAGCGCTGAGTTCAACCTTAGACCGAGACTGTTTATTCAACCGGCAGTGGCTTGCATTTTCCAACGCAGGCAAGGCTGTAACCAGAGCGCATTTTCTGGGCTGGTTCCTCCACACATTCAAAAAGCGTTTAAGAGTGCACCTTCGGGTGGAAGTGTGCCTCTGGGGACACAAAGGCAAATTTTCTTGATCCTTTCCCAGGAGTGCCAAGGGTGGAAGGGAGAGCCAAGAAACCTGACATTTACAAGTCGGTGTGATCAGTGCGGAGAAGGTGGTGCTGGGAGCCATGGGGTGGGGGGAGGGGGTGGGGGCAGCAGACTATGCAAAGGCCTGGGGTGGGAAAGTGCTTCAGAGGGGACTGATCTTCCATTGTGGCTGACCAGGACTGCGCCTGCGTGTGGGGTGAGGGCTCTTGAAGAAGGTTAGGGAGGAGATGAGCCAGAGATGATGTGGTCTTTGGGGCTTCATAAACTCCAAGGATTTTGGACCAGATCCTAAGGGTTGAGTGGAACTACCAGAGGACTTTAAGCAGGGCAGGAAACAAGATAAAGTGTACATGCTGGAAACTTCATTGTAGCCCCTGTGCGGAGATGGTTTTGCAGGGGTGACAGGCTTGGAGCTTGGTCTTGGAAGGGCATATGATGAGAGCCTGGTTGAGGAGGGCAGTGGTGGCCATGGAGAGGAGATAGGTCACAAAGATACTTAGAAAAGGGAACCAACAGCACCCAGTGATTGGTTGGATGTGGGGTTGAGGAGACGGAGGC